CATTTTGCAGGTTAGAAATACTTGCTGTTCATCTCTTAAAGACTTTTAGAGTATCATTTACTAACCACTCTGTTTATTTATAGAGGTTGATGCCAAGTTTCCCTCTGATAGCTTGGAGCTACGGATCACTCAAAAAAATCTTATCTTGTTCCAAAAATAACACAGATAATGTCTTGAATTAGCTGGTTAGTGTTTGCATATGGCACTTATTGCCACATTTTGAGGAAATGGCTTGCAATACTAATGCAAAAATGTGTCTATTGTGAAATTTTATAGGATTTTTCATTGAGAACTCAATAATGCATCTATTAAGAAATTTTTCTTGCTGCAATTGTTAATTTGGGATTTAAAAATAAGTCTGCCCACTTTTAAGGTAGGCAAGTTTCTATTTTGCTGTGTTAGTTTAGGGTAAGCCTTTTTATACTGATATGAGAAAAGCCTCTCTAATAAAATTTTACCAGTAGGAGCATGTAAGAGCATTTTAAAGGGCCATGGCCACTCAGCAATGGGAACATTTTCAGCAGCCTCTGGTGGTTGAAGGACAACATAAATGGCTGAAGGAAAACTGATCTGTCAGATCAGATATTGTTTAACAACATTCATACTTTGACTAAACAGAGTTTAGAGCTTCTGCATCTTTAAATACTTAAAGGCAGAAGAGCACAGGACTAGAGGCCTGAAGTTGCTCCCAGAGTGACAAAGCCACATCCTTCGCTGGGTTGAAACTGTGTGAAGTCACCTTTCTGATATCTCTGGTCACATTTGTGCCTTCTCTCTGCTGCAGTTCCCCACAAGCCACCCACAGCTATACAATGGTTCCAACTCTTGCTTATTTGGAAAAAGAAAAAAAAAAAACCTGAAGAAAAATAGGAACAAACTATTTGTTTCCCTACAACCAGCAAACCAAAATAGTTTGTCTTTTGTGTACAGTTTCTGCTTTCTTCAGATAATGTTGTGAATTACAATGACAGGCATTTTCACACAACTTAGCTAGCAATAGAGCAATTTACAATCTGCTCTTTTTCACTCAGCATTTCTACTCTAAGCTAAGACAAATGGGGTTAGGTGCCAAAATAAAACAGCAGCAGTTTCTTCTCATGTGCATGTTTTTCCACTGTCACCTGCATGCAAGCCTCCTCTTTTCTCAAGCCCTTCACTGCAGACTGACAGCAGTTAAGCATTTCAGCACATGTTCCCATAGCTAAGATCTCTAAAGTACACTCTGTTTTCCAGCACTGTGTGTTTTCCCAAAGCTGATCTTTTCCCCTCTACTGGGCATTCGTGAGGACGCATCTCGAGTGCTGTGTCCAGTTCTGGGCCCCTCAGTTCAGGCAGGTCATTGAGGAGCTGGAGTGAGTCCAGAGAAGGGCAGTGGAGCTGGGGAAGGCTCTGGAGCCCAAGCCCTGAGCGGAGCAGCTGATGGGGCTGGGGGTGCTCGGCCTGGAGCAAAGGAGGCTCGGCTGTGACCTGAGCGCTCTCTGCAGAGCCCTGAGAGGAGCCTGAGGCCAGGTGGGGGTCGGGCTCTTCTCACAGGTAACAAGCAGTAGAATAAGAGGGCAAGGCCTCAGACTGTGCCAAGGGATGTTTAGGTTGGACCTCAGGCGGAACTTCTTCACTGGAGGAGTGATTAAACAGTGGAATGGACTGCCCATGCCTAGGGAGGTGGTGGAGTCGCCATCCCCGGAGGTGCTTAAAGATAGACTGGATGTGGCACCCAGTGGCAGAGTCTGGTTTATATGGTGGTGTTCAACGTGGTGGATTCGATGATCCTAGAGGTCTTCTCCAGTCTAAATGTTACCTTGGCCCTGTGTTTCCGTAATCTGAGGAAAATCTACTGGCCACAGCAAGAAACACACACGCTTTCAAACCCGACCATTCTTCTCTGCCCAAAGAGCAGAATCGTACAAAGCCTTCTTGACGCAGGGCCGCCCTGAGCCACATGTAGTTTTACACCAATCCCCTAATCAGGCCCAGATTAATCAGAAGTGGCGTGAGGCAGTCGGTACCCTGAGGCGCCTGTGACGACGGCGAACTACGCAGCAGAGCAGCCATACCGCCGTGGCGGGGCTCGAACCCGCGGTCCCAGCGCACCCGGCAGTCACCGCGCAGCCGCGGCACAGCGCCTCCTCCCGCCCCTCGTGCCCGGCGCTGCGGCGGCGTCAGCTGACCGCGGGTCACGTGACCCACCGGCGGGTGAGCGGGCGGCGGCGCCGGGGATGGAGCAGTGACGGTAACGGCGGGCCCGGGCCTGGAGCGGGCGGGGGCAGGGAAGGAGGGGAGGACGGAAGGAAGGACGAGTGTCTGGGATACCCCGAGCGGCTACCGCAGCGCCCCGGCCTGCCCCGGCGCACGGCCTCCTCCGGCTCCGGGCCGCGCAGGCCTGGCACGAAGGGCAGCGCCGGCCGGGCCCGGCGGTACCGCGGCTCCCGGGGGCTCTGCTGGGCCTCGGGGCCGCCAGGCCGCCGCTCTGCCGCTGCCGGGAGTGTTTACCTCGGGGAGGCCGAAGGGACAGCGCGGCCCGGGGAGCCCGAGCCGGCGGTGCCGGGCTGTGGGAACTGACGTCCAATCCCTGAGATGCGGCTCGGCGGCTCCGTGGGGAGCGAGGGCAGCGGCCCCCGCTCCCGCGGCCAGCCCCAGGTCGCTCCGCACAAGCGTGGGGACTCCCCACGGAGCAATGTCCCCGGCTGCCTCGCTATGGCCGCTTCTGCTTGGGGAACGTGGAGGCCAAGCACCAGACGTGATTTCTGAAGACGAGCTTGAAGAAGTGACACTTTAGGGACTCTGTGCTGGGCCGCATCAGTAAACGGAGGTTTCCTATTGAGCTAAATAGAAGCAATTGTCCCCTGCCCCTTGCCCTGGATTTTTTTTTTTTTTTTTTTGAAAAATGCAATGCTGTAGTTGAGATTCTGTTTTGACGTGGCTATATGTTTTTCTGGGTACAACACTTGTTGTACCATAAGTTTTATTTTAGATTGTAGTATACTGCATGAAAGATTTTTCTTTGGAAATCCATTTTCCTAGTAACATAGGGATGAAGCAGTGAACATTACAAAAAAGTCCTGGTTAAAGAGGTATATTGTGTGAATAAGCTACCCATTCTTACTGCTTATTCTAGGTTTTATTTTGAACACTTGGTATTTCCAGCTTTATCCTGTGGTCCTTTAATTTGCTTGGCTTTCGTTTTAACAATCAGTGTGTATGTATTTTTTGTCTGACCAGCATTTGTATCTGTTTTTCAAACCGCTCTGTAGCACTTCTCCTTTCTTCACTTCTTGTTTAGTATTCTCCATTGTTCTGGTTTCAAGGCCCCTCATGTAAAAAACATTTAAAACTCTTCTATCAAGCTTTTTGTTCCCTTGTGTGTATTTAATAATACCTCCTTTTTACCTGAAACGTGAAATCATCTTACTTCCCATGACTGTTAGAGATGGAACACAGCTTCAGGAAAAACAACCACACAGACAAAAAATGGTGAGGGAGAAAGGGAAGTGCAGTGACTTAATGATTCCTGGCAGCTACAACTGTTTCTTCTGGAAATTTTATAAGTATTCTGTAGAGAGTATTGATGTTTGTGGAAAACATGAGAATGCAATGTACCTTGTGTCTTCCTGAGTAGGATTCTGGATTTCTGTGTTATTGCTTTTCTGTCTTTTGCTTGGATATTTGTAAGTTGCTGCTGCCACCACTTAGTTTACCCAACAACTTTTTCCAGTCCTAGCCTAGTCAAATCCAGACAAAAACAATTTAAAGCTTTAACAAACTTTGAGAGTGTGTGTCAGTTGTAGTGGTGTCTCTCTGAGTAGGTGAAGTTTACTGTAGCCTTGGCTGTGCCTCTTATAGGGCCAGAGTTCAGTGGAGTGCAGGAAAACCTCTCTTGTGCCAAGTCTGGCATGCATTAAGGAAGATAATGCATCATAGTAGTCTGAATAAGAGGAAAATTTGTTTTGTTCCATATCATCAGTAATTAATAGACGTCCTGTGGAGACCTGTTATGTGAGATACTGCAGCTGGTGCTAAACCAAGAAGCCCTGTGGCATGATGATAACTGATGTTGTGTGTCTGGTCTTGTAAATGCTGTGATTTATCAGCTACCTGTACCTGCCTTGGCCTTGTCTGGCACTGCTGGGCTGGGCCTGCTGGGCAGTTCCAGATGTCACAGAGTGTGTCCTGTCAAGGGCCTCAGAACTGGGTGTCATCATCTCCTGCTGGGAACGAGGCCCCTTAAGTCCAAGGAGGATGGATGGCTGCTATGCCAGGCTGTGCTTCATGATAGTGATTTAATGGCTGAAAACTTCAGCTTTAGGCTTCCTGAGGAGCTGAGCAAAAGAATCAGCAACCAGGCCTGTGTCTCACCTGGATTTTCAACACCCTTGAATGAATACAGAGGGGAAGGACCTATGTGTTGTTTTGGGCAAAGTTTGCTACCACATACTAGCTCTAGCAAATACAACACTTGATTCATTCTCCCTCAAAAAATTGAGTGCTGTACTCTGTGCTCATGAAATACAGGTTAGTCTCTACTCCTTAACGCTGCTACAAAAGACATTGCAGATATCAAAATTTAGATTCTGTCAAGTTACACTTTGATTTTGTTTTTCATTCTCTTATTAAAAACATCCAGTAACTCTCAACCAGCTGTTTCTGCTTCTTAGTGACAAAAAAACACATACTCTTAACTTCCTGAGCATGTCTGCAACATAAGCCAGCATCATTTGTATTTAGTACCAACTCTTTCTTGACTAATGCCAGTATGTGTAATCTTATTGATGGTTTGCAGTTGTAACAGAGATATCAAGACTAGAAAGTGTTCTCCTTTTTGTTGAAATGTTTAGCTGCCAGGAGAAGCTTCTTTACTTGAAAGAATAAACTAGAGTTTATTGCATTTAAATAATTTTAGGCATTTATTTACTTTAAAACACTGTCCTAATCTGAAAAGTGATTGGAGAAGAGATGTCAGAGTTGAAATTTTTTTGGTTTTGCTTGTTTTTTCTGATGTTTTCAGAAAAAGTTGTCTGTTATACAGACACTGGAATGTTGGAACTCAGGACATCCCTCTGGGTGTCCAGAGTTGCCGGGACCCCTGCCAGGGGGTTCAAAGACCCTGGCACACAGCCTAGAACACCTGTGGGTTTGATTATGACCTATGGAGCAAATGACCAGCTCTGTATGAAGACCTGAAAGCCACAGAAGTTTAAGTAGTGTAATAATAAAATTATCACTACCTAAAGTAGATTTTGGGGTTTTTAGAATAGAGGTTTTGGGGACAAGATGGAGGGACTTGGGTGTGTCCAGCTTTTCTTCTTCTCTGCCTTCATCTTCTGCTGTGATGTTGGCACTTTTATATTGGTTTAGAGTAGAAGCTCACTGTCTAACATAGGTGATAGGTATTGGAAAGTAATTGTAAACATTGTATACGTAGTATGTAGTATAAAGAGACAACACCTTCCTGGGGGCAGGCAGAGTGCCTGGAATTGTCCTCCTGGACAGATCTCGGCAGGGCAGGAGAAAGAATTTTATAGATGAGATACAATAAACAACCTTGAGACCAAGAACTGAAGAACTCCGACTCATTCTTTGAACATGCAGGCCAAAACAGAGACTTTTCACATGTCTTGGGGCTGCAATAAACTGCAACCTCCCAAGACTGGAAAAGGTATATAGCTGTGAAAATATAATGTGGGTCCTGTTTTATTTGATTTCTTTTCAGTTAGATTGTTTGCTTGTTATCTTTCTATGGAATTGCAGTTGCTAATGAAAGGTGCTAATGTTGCAAACTCAGCCCACTTTAACATACAGGATGGGCAGTTTAAAAAGATTTTCCGACTGTGTAAATATGATTTGGAAGATAGGAAAAAATGAATTTGAAACCACATGATACTTCTGGTAAAATCTCTTACAGTGGCTTTAACAGCACTATAGCAATGTGGAGTGAGATGTTTTTCTTCGGGCAAAGCTTTGACTGCTGTATTAATGGCAGATATTTTTTCTTCTTTCTCTTGCTTCTCTTCTGCTAGCATCTTGCCTTTATCCTCAGAATCAACAGCCATCAAGATAAAGGCACAAAAATGACAGAGTTTTGGCTGATTTCTGCTCCTGGAGAAAAGACCTGTCAGCAGACATGGGAGAAGCTACATGCAGCAACTACAAAACACAACAACCTTTCCACTAATTCAAAGTTCAATATTCCGGACTTGAAGGTATGTAAGCCCTGTGTCCTGTCCTAAGAAGTGTGTTTGTTTTGCACCATCTTTGTTTCTCTAGATTAAAACCTGCAGATGTTTTAGAGAGAGTAGCTGACTTCTCTTGATGTGTATGTGTGGATCTAAGAAATAATTCAGACAACGGTTATCTTTTTTTCTGAACTTCTAAGTTAGTTGTTCACACTGTAAGTTTTCAAGATTCAGCAACCTGTGTTCTTTCAGCAAATAAAGCAGTTTTTTCTGAGGATTGTAGTCTTGATCTCATGATGGTAGCAGTTACTTGGAGAAGAAAAATAGGAACTTGTGATCTGATTATTGAGAATTTCCTTTGACGGTTTTGTTTTGCCTTTTTAAAAAATTATTTTATGTTTTTTCCCCTTCTGAATTGTCTGCTCCTTTTCTCTGTCTGAGATACAGTGAAAGGTTCAAATTAAAATACAGGAGTTGATCAAAGAGCTGCTCTGCCTTTTCTCTGTCCAGAAGTAGCATTCTTCTATGAGAGCAGTGGTTTATCTCTGGCTGAGCATTCCAGTGTGACCTGCCAATGTGTTGTGGAAAATGGGAAAAAACCTGTTTGAACTATTCTGTGAGAAAGAAATAGTAACAAAATAAGAAAGTAGTTAATCTTGGGTTAATACAATCATCAGGATACAGAAAAGTTGTGAGCCAGTGTATTCATTTAGAAAAGGTCTTTCCTAATGCCTGGATGTTTCTTGAACAAGAATTGGAGCTCGGTGAAAGCCCATCAAAGCTTACAAAATTGAGGAGAAAAATGCCATCAGTCTTGGTCTACAGAGTGCATCAAGGTCAGGTGGCATAATGCCTTTTTCCTGTGGCTGCTAAGGAATGAGCCCAGGGCACAGAGTGCTTCAGTCTGCCTTTTAACATCTTCAGACTGCCATAACTTGTGTTCACATTTGGACTGTCCTGAGTTAGAACAGTGACTAGAACAAATGTCTGTCTCCTCCCAGGATATCCTTGGACAGGAGTCAGGATAGCTTTCAAACTGTAGGGTGCCTGCAGCATTTAGAGGAGTTATTGCTGAAATCTGTTGGGGCCCATCAGGGTTAGAAGCAATTTCTTTTGCTTTGACTGTGTTTCCTAAAAGGGCCAGAAACTGAATATACTTTATATACAGTGGGAAATAGTCTGGCTTCTGTGAGACTGTTAAAGCAGTGAGAACCTTTAGTTAAAACTCATTTAAACAGTGGTTTAGTCTCTGCTGAACAGCAGTCTTATTGCTTAAGGACTTGCTAGTCCTGAGGCTTTTAAGTGACTAGTTAAAATGAGCTTCCTTATTCTGCTTGTGGCCCACAGGAAGGTGAGGCATGGAAAGTCATTTTATGTGATATTTCTTAAGTAATTCTGCTCCTTTCTGCTTCAGAACTAAACAGAAAAGGACTAATATGAATTTGAGTGGTCAGATATATAGAAAGTAGATGCTAGATTACAAGTATGTTAAATGTTACTAGCCCTGTAATATTTCAGTGAGAAATGTGTACTCTAGATACATGAGATTAGGGAAGAAAGTGTTTTTCTGGAGGAGAAGGGAAGAAAGAGTGAAAGCTTGTAGACAAGCTAGATATTTTATTACCCAAGATGCAAAAAGTCCAGACTCTTGTTGGTCTCACTGCTGCAGTATTCTTGTATTGTCAAAGTTTTCGATGCCCGTGTTGCCTCCAGTGCTGAGATTCCTGATCAGTGAAATTTCTCATTTGATCTAAAGTAGTGAATTAAGTGCTCAAGCAACTGCTTTGTGAAAAGTGCAGCCAATTTATAGCATAGGCATTGTTTTAACATGTTTTGGATGGTTGGATTGCAGAACTGAAACTGAGCACCAAACTAGTGAGTTAGATCTGATCCTGTGGTGTTTTGAGGCAGGGGCGATATCTTAACAAGTGAAACAGAGTGTGACTTTGGTAAATCAAGATGTCTGAAATCTTGAGAGTCCAGCATTTTATGTAGTTCTGGAGAGATACCTCTTGGGAGATGTATCTTTTACTGTTAGCTGGTTTTCTCTTTCTATGTTTATATACATCTGCTAATGCATTTTGATCTTTGCTTCTAGGTTGGCACACTGGATGTTTTGGTTGGTTTGTCTGATGAGCTGGCTAAACTGGATGCGTTTGTGGAGAGGTACCAGTTCATTTTTACTAGGATGGAAAGTATTAGAATGATGATGTGATGGTTTGCTGAGTTCTAATAATACACAGGTTATTTTCAGCATTTTTTTGTATCACAGTGATCCTCTACAGCCAGTCAGCAAGGTCAGATTTAAGAAAGCTAAGATGCTGGTTTTCACAGTATCTGTTCTTGAAAAAAGAAAAATAATTCTGAACTCCTTACGGAATACTGGAACATTATGCATTCTCTCTTCAGGAGTGCTGTGTGTTGCTGGGTCCTGGAGAATTGTTAAAAATTGAGCCTGACAGGTGCAGGAAGTGGTGAGGAAATGAAGTAAAAGCTTGTAATTCTAGCAGGAATACTGTTTACACACTTTGAGAAAGTAACCATGTAATTTCCTAATCCATAGAAATACTTAAAAGTATTAATATTAAAATGCAAAACTTACTCATTTTGAAGAAACTAATGACCTTTTGAAAGTGATTTCAAGCAAAAGTAGCAAAATTTCACATAACCAGAATTCATGGAGCCATCTTCTGTTTCAAGGAGAGCAATCTTAAATAGACATTTTTAAATAGAAAAGGAAACTCTTTGGCCTGGCACATGTGAATAATATTATACATGGCTTTTCAGTTAGGAAGGCAGGTCTTGAGTGTCACATTGCATTGTCAGGGTTACCCTGTGTTTAGCTTGTATTACTGTTGACTTCTACCCCTCTACCTGTTTCTAGAAAGGGGTTAGAATTTTGGAAGTACAACAGACTTAAAACAAATTTTGCAATATAGTGACTTTACACTTGAAGTCAACACCAATGTGAGGGAGCTAGCCTCACCTTGTTGAGAACTGGTGAGTAGCAGCAGTAGAGATTTTAAATAAAGGTGTGGAATACTGAGAAATTGGTCTCCTTCAGATATTGAGCCCAGCTTGTGCTCTCAGAAAGTTTGGATGTAGAGCAGTCATCATCCTTGTTTGATCCAGTCACTTTTGATCCAATCTCAGGCAACTTAAAATGAGTTTTATGAATGGTATTTCTCAAATGGCAGGTTTGGGGGTTTATTGTTTTTTTTAAATATATTTTTATCTTTATCTGCCAATTTTCAGTGTTGTAAAGAAGGTGGCCCAATATATGGCTGATGTTCTAGAAGACAGTAAAGATAAAGTTCAGGAGAATCTTCTGGCCAATGGAGGTAAAGTGTTAACCATGATATCCTAATGTATTCTAAAACTGTAGAAGGGAAGGCAATGATCCTGAAACTTACTGAGGTACCAGGAAGCCAAGTGCAAGGGGCTGCTCCTGGGTCAGGGGCATGAATGGATCAAGAGCAGCCCTGCTAAGAAGGACTTGGGGTGCCTACAGGTGCCAGTGTGCTTTTTATTTCAGTAAAGAGCTGCACTTTTCTCTGAACCAATATTTTATTTTCAGAGCCATTTAATAGAATTATCACAGCTTGTATTGATGCAAGAGAGGCTAGTATCAGTGGGTAAGGGCTTGGAGTAGTGTCTTTTGTAGATAGCTGTACAAACCTGTCATTTCAGGGGAGCCACATGATCATTGCTGCCTTTTTTTGCCATAATAACCTTCCCTTCTCCCACCCATTTTTCACACAGAGCAAAAAGAAGTTGCTTTTGTCTGTAGTTCTCCAACCATCCTTGACTTAGTAATAAATGTCATTTACAGTCTACAGAGGTGGTGAAACCACTGTCTGAAGGCAGAGGTCATGGAGAATTTACAGCTTGTTTATTTTCAAATTTCTTAAGCAACAGGGTCCACACATGGGAAGGTCTAGTCTGTTACAGTTCTCTTCTGTTAGAGCAGTTCTTCACAGAATATAATACAGTTGTCTTTTTATTGTCAATCTTAACAAAGTTCTTTAAAATTTTAGTTGACTTGGTCACCTATATAACAAGGTTCCAGTGGGATATGGCCAAATACCCCATCAAGCAATCCTTGAAGAATATTTCAGAAATTATTGCAAAGGTAAGGTAACTTGTTTTATAAAACTTCCCTATTTGAACTTGAGATATTTATGCACAAAACTTGCTCTCAAAGCAATTTGTCTGTTTTAGTCAGCAAACAATAGTAGTGAACTTTGTAGCAGTTAGTAGCCAGAGAAATACATGGGATGTGGCTAGGACTTGGAGAGTGCTCCCTGAAGGCCAACATTCTGTCTTTGCTGATTTTTGTTTCCTAGGATCACTGAGCTAACAAATAAATAGCTAGGAAATGATGCTTCCATTTTAGTTTTGCTCTGCTAGCATATTGTTTGTCTGATGTTCTCAAACCTTGTGGGCTGTTAGCAGTGAACCAGGGAACTTATTCACATTTTGAAAGCTGTGGCACTCAGTTGTGAGGGGAGAAATAAGCCTTCATTGTTAGATGTAGAGTTTTCATGTGTTTTCCTCATCTTTACTTTGGCAAAGTGTTTCATATATGAAGAGCTTTATTTTTTTACTTGCTTGTGAGCCTCTACAGGATCCTCAGCAGTGACTGGTTTAGACAGTGAGAGAATTCTCTGTAGACAGTCCTTGCTTTAAGATCTTCCCAGCCTCTTCAGGTTGTTTTTTTCCCTTCCCTGTTTTATGTAATCTACAGACTGGCTCTTGGAACTGCCTGTGTTACTAACTGGAAGTACATAATTGCAAAAAAGAAGAGGCTCTTCTGGGTACTATAGAGACAGTCTTTGGTGGTGGATGTGTAGGACTATAATGGGGTTGGGATGGTGGTAAGTGCTGGCAGACTTGTGCTTTGCTATTACTGCAGATTCCTGAAACTATTACATTAATTTTTTTGCAGAGATTACAAAATTTTAATATACGCTACAAAGCTGACTGAAAATGCAATTAATACTTTCATTTTTGATATTTTCTTTGGGACTATCATTGTATCTTGAATTTATTTCACAAATTACATTTAGTAAGTATTCTTGGAAAACATCTGCAGTGTGGCCTTTTGTTAGAGGATGACTGGCTGTCTTGTGGCTCTGAAGATTTGCACATTAAGAATATCTTACAGATATAAAATAAAAATATTAATATCTGACACTAGCACATATTTGCTTCTTCAGAAGAAGGTACCAAAATGAAGCACTGAGCTTTTACAGCAGTTATAGTACAGCACTTGTTTTTGCAGAAATTAAATTTGTTGAAAAAGAAACCTAGGACATGAAGAGATAGACCCTTTTTTGAAAATTATCAAATATTCAGTGCATGTTATTCTGTGTCCCAGAGTCGGCTAGATAAATAATCTGCTTCAACAAAGCTCTAGAACCTGAACTTCAACTGTCTTACATTCTTCATCTACTTTAGGGACCTCATTGACCTGTTGTATTGAATAGTAAATGTAGACAAACAGGTCTGCTGGAGTTCGGCTTGAGTCATCCTGTTGGGGGTTTCCATTTTGCTTCATGTTTAGCTGTGCTTGTATTCCATAGGAACAGCTTTAGGACATAAATGTGTAATAAATCTGATTTCAAATAGTTTACAAAATATTTTCAGCTGTGAGCCGTAGATGTATGTCCATAAAGTAGAGAAGGAAGATGACTGAAGATGCCTTAGGTTCCTATAGAAATGACCCCTATAGAAATATGATCAAGGAGATCATATCACAGGACTTGAAACAGTTTTGTCCCAAGGCAGAAAGAGTCCTGACAGAGATAAAGTCTTCATGTAATCACATGCCAAAGTGAAGATATAGGAAAATTGATAGAGCTACATTAATTAAAATCTGTGAAGCCTCTTGACAGGTTGATGTTAAATAATTTGAAAAGTTTGTCAAATAATAAATTACTACATTTCCTGTGTGGTTTTATGTCATCCTCACTCACTCAGGCAGCAGATTCTCATGTCTGTCAAAATGAGTAATGGCAATTGCAGTGGGGATTTGTCAGTTGAGAAGAAATTACAGCAGTGTCAGAAACATTTAAAATAAAATGATATCTGCTGAAACTCTTCATCAGGTTTTTTCAGCTTTCAACTTACAGAAATTTTGTGAGCCCCACCATCAATACAGAAGACTTTTGAGATGGCATTGTGCTGAGAGCTGTCACTTAATTGAGTTATTCTTTGGATTTGAAGTTAGTGATCAGACTTATGCAAGGAGACAGCCTCAATATTTTCAGTGCCCATGTCCAACCTTTTCAGCAGCCCAGGCATGCATCAAAGTGCAACAGCTCAGCTGTATGGCTACAAGACACTGATGTATTGCCAATGACTACCTAAGGGGTTTAAACATCTGGGATTGCTCTGTGTAGAGATAGGCTCCCTGTGTTAGACTGCACTTTCCTTAGCAATACTGTGAGTCTGCCTCCTTTTGCAGTGACCTTTGTGAGTTATTCACCAATTCTACTCGCAGAAGGAAGTTTGTATTGTTGCTTCATTTGGTAATTTTACAAACATTTATTTTCAAGAGCTCTGTTGTGGCATAGAGGTTTGTGGTTCTGTATTCTCTAACATTCAGTAGGAAGCAAAGCTGGTTGTTTTTCACAATAAACTTCAGTCAGTGCAGCAGTAACAGGTTTTTATCTAAGCAGTCATTTTTTAAAAGACTACTGACTCTACAAATGAGAGCAATTAAAAGTATTGTCAAGTAGGAAATGCTGAATGGAACTGGTTTGTAAAGGCAATGATGGTATCAAAAGTTTTTGGGTTTTGTCATTAATAATGCATAGTTATACTGTTATTGAAAGTTTTGATCCTTGGAAAAGGCAAAGGGTTGTCAGTCTGGGGAAGAGCTAAAATGCACAAAGGTACTAGCTTAATATATTCTGTTTAATTTTCCCCTTATGGTGTCCTCTAGATGTAAAAAAAAGGCGCTGGTGTTACTTCTTGTAGTATTAAAAAGTTTTCATGAAGGTATATGCCTTGTGTGACACCTGCTGAAATGTTCCTCATGTTGCTTTGCTAAAGGTTGTATCAGTCAAAGGATTTAAATAGCCTTAAGTACTCATCTGTTTAATTTTGTCATTTTCAGAGTATTTTGTCTAAAGGATTTCTGTATCTAAAGGTGCAAGCTGTTAATGTGTTGCTACATGAAACGAACAGAATGTTCAGGATTTTGATGACTTCCTGCTCCAGACAAACCAACTTAGGTGCTACCATAAACAAGGTCACTATTTAATTAAGTGACCTTGCTTTTAAGAGAGATTTATTTTGTAGAAACAAAATCATATCTGAATCTCCAAGCTGAAGTGTTTTATGCAAACAAAATGTTTTATCAGTGGTCTAAGTCTATATAAAGGGAGAGTCCCTTGACAGTGTTCAGAAACTTTTCCCTGGGAATTTTTCCATGCTTGTACTTCCTTACTACAGTGAGGAGGCAGTGAAGGAAGCAGTAGGCAGCATTATAATCCCAGACCAACACTGTGCCATTGCAGTTACCCAACTGTTACTGAGTGTGCTGATTTTAAAACACCTCCTTGTATAGGGTGCACACCAATATGAGTATGGTTGGCAGTTTAACATATATTAATTAAAGTGCTTCATTTGTTTTGTAGTCTTCCACTTGCTGCCAAGTTATCTAGCTGGGAATGAATCATTTTTGGTAATCATGCTAATTAAGCCATCCTTCTCAAATCCATCCTCCAGGATTACTTGAGCGACCAAGTAATGGCAAGCTGAACATAAGTTCTATTCTAGTTCTCTAGATACAGCTCCTTTTCTTTTCATTTTTAAGGGAGTAAACCAGATTGACAATGATCTAAAAGCAAGAGCCTCGGCATACAATAATCTGAAAGGGAATCTTCAGAATTTGGAAAGAAAGAATGCGTAAGTTGTATTATTTTTTCTAATGTAGTGCAGGAACGTTATCTAATTATGAAAACTTAAGAAAATGTTAACTCTAAGCTTAATGTATTTTTGAGGTGTTTATTAGTCTTGAAGAGCAGCTGTCATAAAAGAACATTTATTATCAGCTGTCTGGTTGGTGCTAACTTAGCTGTGACTGAAAAGCAATTAAGAAATCACAGAAGCATGTACAAATAGCATAAATTGCTGGAACTTCTGAGAGGAGCTTGCAGTTAGTGGTAGTGCTGCTACTTAGGTGTCTTGTTTAAACAAGAAAGTCTTCCCTTCACACCACCTTAACTGGTTTTCTTCCCTCAGAATTTACCAGCAGAGACAGCTGCTAGGTACACACAGATATTAAATTAAACGAGGACTGTGTGTTGCCTTGTCACGTACGCGTGATGATTATAAGTATAGTTGGGGTACAGTAGTTATTCTGTGCAAATGGGGCTGATTAATGTGCCTGCCGTTACAGTGAATGGCACAAGCCTGCTGGCTGACTCAGAGCCATGGGTCATGCCAATGACAGTACATGACAAGCTGTTGTAGGAGTGAGACATCACTTCTGTGCTAAGCCATGGCAGTTTGTCAGCTGAGTGCCATTAAACCTTTTATGAATACAAGGAAATACACTGCTTTAAGTTTTTATTGATGTTCTGCATGTAGATCTGTACTACGTTAGTTATAACTCTGAGGCTCCATGTGCTAGAATCCACACTTAATGGCTTTAGTGGTTCTTGCAATTTTAAATCACTTTTTAAAAGACAAGTTGGCCCCTTAAGCGTGTGACGTATTTGGAATATGGAAATGACGCACAGCAGCAGAGCTACTGATAAAAACATCAGTGACTTTGGACAGTGAGATATAAAGTGCATATAAGGACATTTTGTTTGCTCTGCTAATAGCATTTGTGTAGGTAAAATGTATTTTTGAGAATGCTATATTATCAAGCCCTGGAAACTGTTGTCCAGACAAATTCAGTTCTTAAATGTGTAATTGTTCTGGCTTTGTTTCTCTGCAGGGGAAGCTTGCTAACCAGAAGTCTTGCTGATATTGTAAAGAAAGAGGACTTTGTACTTGATTCAGAATATTTGGTCACATTATTAGTGATTGTGCCCAAGTAAGTCTATTCATCCTAAGATTAGAATACAATAAGAAATATAAATAATTTAATAGATCTCACAACTCTATAATACTGTCAGAATGACATCTCAGTTTACTTGGGGCTTTCCTGGATGAGCAAACAGAACTGTTAAGATGCTCAGGAGAGATAAGTAAGCGTCTGTGCCTGTGTTCCTTTGTTCACAAAAACTTCTTCTAAGGACTGCTGGGTGCTCATGAATTTCTTGAAGAAACTGGAAATTAGATTTATATCTCTTATTCAGTGTTTGCTATGACTAGACATGCTCCAGATGGGTGTCCTTATGAAAATAAGTGCTGAGTAAAAACATGACTTGTTTTACATTAGAAGGCTTAATCATTAAATTATCCTGGTTAGGACTATGCCAACTTCCATAATTTACTGAGTGAACTCTTTACTGCTTTGCTCTGCACGTTTTTAGATTGCCTGAACACTGTTTTTTGGGGTTTTTTTTACTTAACTAAGTCTGTGCCATTGGAACCCTGCTTATGTTCTGTCAAAGGCTTGCTGGGTGAGCAGGCTGTTCTTATTTGAAATGTGTGAACAACAAAAACCTCATGTTTTCCCTTGGCCAAGGAAAGTGGTGATACAGATGCCCTCAAAACTGTTGTAAAGTGAAAAAATGGTCCTTGACTGGAGCTGCAAGCAGAAGGCTCCTAATTTATGAAAAGCCCACTGGCTCTCTTTACCACAGGAGCCATTAGAGTCTGTCACATGTTTTCCCTCTGGTGAAGGAAAACCAATTTTGCGGTGGCTTTAGCAGAAAGCAGGTGGTTAGAATATCTCTGCTGTTATTTGTCTTGTTTTTGCTGTTAAAAGGATGGAACCTCTTCACAAGTACCTAGAGAAAGGCAGGGCTTCCAAAATTCCCAGTCCTTCAGGCAAGTGTAGGAGTCTAGGGAACCTGTTTATAATTGTGGAAGAAGTATTCCTCTGCTCAAAAGAGCGGAGTTGCTGATTAACCTTGACAGTTAATTCCATTTGGTCCCCTGAGATCTCTACTTAATGATGATTTAATTTCATAGTTCTTTGGTTTAAAAAATGTTGCACTTGTAAACTGACATGAAGACTGAAAATATGTTACTTTTGCAATCACTATAGTTTATTTATCAATAATTATAAAAACAGCATGAGGAGAACTGAGTGTTTTTTGAGTCTGGCATATTTCTTAAAACCTACACCTGAGATGGAAGATGTGATGATTAAATGTTTTTACCCTTAAAAAAACCCCTTGATCCATTAATCTCAGATTAAAAGTCTAACAATAACCTGTGTATTCTCTAGGTTAAATTACAATGACTGGGTTAAGCAGTATGAAACACTAGCAGAGATGGTTGTACCACGTTCCAGCAAGTAAGTTGTGAAATGCTAAATCTCATATTTGCATGTGCTGTGTTTCAGGGGTGTCTTTATCTACAAAGACTGTGAATTTTAAAGATTGGTCAAAAAACTTGTCAATATATCTAACTTTCTAGCTTTATCTGATCAAATCTGATCAAATAATTGAGGAAAAATTCAAATAGAACTCTAGGGTTAACCAAAGTTATCAAACTTATGTGAGAAGAGTAAGAGGATTCAAGAGTTAATTTAGTTCTGGTCAGATATATTCAGCCTCTGGGTGGAGTGTGGTGAAGATAAGCAACAAATGCTGGCTGCTGGCCTGTAAGCTTTAGGTCTGTATTCACAGGACTTGAACCAAGTTATATGAACTCTGAAAGCTTCCAAAGAATGGACAACTGGAAGTGTAAATTTGTTGTGTTCAAAGAAAGGTAGCTTGTCTCTTTGGGTCCCTGGTATCAGGCTGGTGCTAGGTGCTGTGGTGGGCAAGATTAAACCACTTTGAAAGATGAAGTCCATGTGTAGCACAAAACATCTATTTGGGGTTAATTTTAACTGACAGACTGAGGTTTTGATCAGGAAAATCTGATGCTACCAGTTCTGTGCCACTTAAAAAATCTGAACTTGCTCTGGATAGCTTCACATTTGGAAGTGCTAGTGCTTCTTATTTAATTATTTGGAAGCCATGGCCTAGGGCTAGCTTAAGAAAAGGCAACTTGTTAAACTGTTGGATAATGCTTGTATTGAAGACAGTATGACATTGAGGAACAGTCTAAATCCATTCAAGCTTTTTTTTCCTAAGGTAAAGCCTCAAAATAAGCAATATTATTTTTAATTATAAAATAGTAAATCTAAGGGTCATCTTTGCAGCCTAAGAAACATTTTGTTTTGCCAACCTGTATATTTTTAATTTGTGTATTTTTCTGTTTTATATCCATTTCATTTTTCTTTAAAACACACATTTCTAATAAAACTGTAGTCCAAACGTTTCAGTACTAAACCAGCTTCAGTTACTTTTTTTGTTAAATAAGTTTTAATTTGAACAAATATCATATGAAGTGATTTTGTGTGATGAAGTCTCTCAATGTGAAGTGTAAGCTGCCATTATTTATGAAGGGAGCAATTAAGAGCAGTCAGTGACATTCTGTATGAGGTGCTTAATTTGGGAACTAAACTTGTATAATTATCTACATTCATGTCTTGCCTTGTAGCAATAAAGTACAACACGTGGTACTGTGTGACTGATCTGTGCTGGCTTGATCCTGGTTAATTCTGACACTTGGTTTGTTTTCTTTCTGTGTAGTGTACTCTTTGAGGACCAAGACAGCTACCTTTGTAATGTCACCTTGTTCAGGAAGGCAGTGGATGACTTCAAGCACAAAGCCAGAGAATATAAGTAAGGTTTTATTTTGTGTGCATTCTGTCTCTCATGCTTTGAAGGATCTCTGGATAGACACTTCTGATTTTATTCCCTTCCAAATGCAGATTTATGGTCCGTGACTTCCAGTACAATGAAGAAGAGATGAAAGCTGATAAAGAAGAAATGAATAGACTGTCAACTGACAAGAAGAAACAGTTTGTAAGTCTTAATAAAGTGGTCATTACAGAAATGTGAGACATCTAAGACTTGTTATTGCTACATAAAATTTTCATGAAGTTGTGATTCAGAGAAAGCATTGTAGGGATGACATGACGTAGCCAGCCTGCCACCCAGCTAATCTACTCCAGGATAATTGAATTTTGTGCAGCACAAGTGCTCCTTACTGCATTGAACCAAGGGCTGGTATTGCAGCTGATAATGTTTGAAGTTTGAAAATGGGCAAGTGTTTGAATTGCATAATCAGATATTACTAAAAGGATCTTTAATATAGTTAGATCATGACAACTGAGATGGGGACCTGAAGGGACAATGGGAAGTGTCATTAAATGTCTCTTTACTTTCTATCAAAACACTCTTGAGCAATTATGTCCATAATGAACTTTGTCTTTAGCTTGTCTTTTGTTATGGTACAGATATTGAGTAGCTGCTCAAACATGCATAATGGGCTGAGTCTTTTTCTGATGTTTGAATAGCTTATTTTCTTTCCCTCTCTTTTCTTTCACAGGGGCCTCTGGTTCGGTGGCTGAAAGTTAATTTCAGTGAAGCTTTCATTGCATGGATTCATGTGAAAGCATTACGTGTTTTTGTTGAATCTGTTTTAAGGTAATGAGGCAGATTTGAATAGTGATTTCCTTCCTAGACTTGGTAAGAATTCACATCTAGCTTGGGTTTACCAAATTGAAGCATCTGAATGCTGCTCTTCTGGGAAGGAGGAAGCAAAAAGCAGGGTGGTAAGAATAGTTGGTGGCAATAGCTCTTGTTGCCAGTTTTGAAATATTTGAAGTAGATAATTGTGTATCTTCCCCTTGGATAGTCTTTTCACTATTGCTTTAGGAGTTACAGATACTCTGTACATAGCAGGGAGACATATTTGCTGATTTTTAGGTTACTTAAAGAGCTGCTTGTAACAAGAACTAACTACATCTTATATTTAAATGGAAAATTTGAATAGTTCAGAATAACAATAGCTTGGCATCATGAAATCTATGCTTTTTCTTTATGACATGCCTTTTGTAATCTAAATTTTTCAGTTTTAAACCACTCAATATTCTAATTAGAAATTTTATCTGCTTTTTTTTCTTCATACTATCCACAAGTGTTGTTACTAGTCAAGAACAGATGTAGTTGTTCTGCAAAGGAAAGACCTTTATTTTTAATAGTTGAAGACGTTCCTACTACGGTCAGTAAAGGGCAAGGTGTTTTTAGCCTTTTTGATTACTGGTCATAAAGGAGAAAAGCAGAGGAGAAAAAGAAAACAAATCACATGAACTTGCATTCTTGCTGCTATGGCCTTATTGTGAAGACAAAACTTGAGTAAAGAGTAAAGAAGAAAGCTGAACCTGACTGAAATGTTGGCAGCAGTTTCCACACTCCTAGAAAGGACGATTAAGTAGAAACTGCATTGTCCACCAAGTGTCATAAGCAAAGTAAATTAATGGAATGTTCAAAATTTAGTCTGTGTTCAGGTAACATTGAGAATTATGCTAAATATTCAAGGATTTTAAATTATTTTAAAAATATTTAGGCTTCTGTTTTGTTATTTTAAGCTTGAAGTTCTTTTTTGATGTCTTATGAATTGTAGACACAGAATGGTTTTGCAAAAATGGAAATTAGCAGAATTTCCTCTTCAGCAATAGGATCCTTTCTCAAAAAAAAAATTCTGCTTTGAATTATGAAAGAAGGTTTATTTCAGCATTTCCATGGTTTTCTACTTGACTTCCTCAGGTATGGTTTGCCAGTTAACTTCCAGGCAATGCTGCTTCAGCCTAATAAGAAAACAATGAAGAAACTGAGGGAAGTTCTGTATGACTTGTACAAACATCTTGACAGCAGTGCAGCAGCTATCATTGATGTAAGTACTTTTTAACTGCTACTAGTATGTTTAAACAAAGTCTATTGGCATCATTAAAAAGCTGTACCTCTCCATATTCTTCATTTTCTCACAGTACAGAGAATTTTGTCTCCTTAAAAAAATGCTGCCTCTGTTTTACACTTTTGCAAGGCAGATGGTATTTAAAGTTGCAACCAATATATTTGAAGAGCTGTCTAGTTTAAAAGTCACATGTAATTTCTTCTTACTACATTCTTTCCTACTGCTGATGGAATGATACAGACTGCAAGTTAGCATAGTAGTCCTCTGCTGTTGAAGGCTGAGTCATTGTCAAAATGGAATCAGCCTTTCCATCTGTAGAGGTCTCATTTTCATGTGTAAAAACTGGTTTGTTGGGAGGCCTATTCTACTAATTGGCTTTGTATTGAAAAGTGATGATGTTCGTAGTCAAAGGTTAACTGAAGATACCATGAGTTTAGCTGAATTAAAAAAGATTCTTAATGTTATATTGAATGTAATGTATTTCCAGACCTTTTTGTGGAAAGAGGATGTGAGACAATTTAGGTGAAAATTAAAGATGCTGAACTTATATAATGTCCTGGATCATTCAGCACCCTATAGCATTCTCATCAGAAACTGGCAGTGTTTAGATGTAATAGTGATGATGTGTTTACTATAGCAGTGCATGTGAATTATTGGTACAGAACTACTTAGAGTTTGAAAAAGCACTTTGTATTACTTATGAAAAATACTGTTAGTCATTTGTCAAAGTTCTAACTTTACCTGTTACTTAAACAGTCACTTGAATCTGAAAATTTAACCTTGAAATCTTACCTGGCCTATTTGCTTCTAAAACATATTAATATTTCAGCCACTTCTTAATAGGAGTCTGAATTGTAAGAGTATAACTGGTTTCAAAACTTTATTTGCAGGCAACTATGGATATTCCAGGTTTAAACCTCAGCCAACAGGAGTACTACCCATATGTGTACTACAAGATCGATTGTAATTTGCTGGAATTCAAGTAAAAGTTCCCTAACATGACAATCTTCTCAGTGTTGATGTAAACAAACAGAAGTGAGGTTGAAGTATAGTAATACTTTTAACATTCTACTAATCATATGCTTGCTTCTTATGTTAGGTGAATTGAACACACTGTGGTCCATCTCTAGACATTTTCTTTTTAAAGAGCAGTGTAGGTAACCAGCTTTTAATCGACTATGTCTGTAAATGTATATTGAGAGAATTGAAGTATTTATAAACAGAGTGATTTATTTAAGGAAAAGCTTATCCCTCTTTCCTATGGTGGTCTGTGTTAATTCCATTTACTGTTGTTTATACAAAAAACTTGTTTACAGAAGACTAGTGTAAATGTTCATGGCCATTTTGTTCATTTGATTTAGTAGATACAACTGTGTTAACGTTGTTGAACTGTGATGTAAAGTATGTAAAATTGGTATGAAATCGTGCTTTCTGAATGGTTTAAAATTACAACTGATGCACTGTAAACGCAGGGAAAATAAACATACCTGTGCAAATGTGTCACTTTCTTCTACCACATAAAATTGCAGATACTTGTGTCTAAACTGAAGCAATGCATCAAGTCTTTAATAGTGCTGCATCCTGCATGCACTGGTACAGAGATACAATTGGCTTCAGCACAAGTACTTGTAGGAGATGCAGGAACTAATTCTGCTTTGTGCAGAAAGGCTCAAGTCGTTTGGCCACCACATACATGTGTGAGTGTTTTTCATGTTTGTATCTTTGTAACTAAAGAAAAGATGTGAGACAATCACTGGGAAGATGATGGCAAGCTGGGATAATAACAAGCTAGGCTGAGCTGGGATTTTGGTAATTCTTCTTTCTTTTCAGTCAGTTGAAGCTTGAGACAATTTTATAGCTTTGTGCACTGTACTGTTAGATGCTCAATTTTTTTTTTTTTTTGCAATATCTGTTCTCCATACAGGGAATATGATGGCTTCCTTCTAATGTGGATAGAGAGGAGTTGTTTTTTTCAGTAGCAGCTATTACAAGTATTCTACCTGTCTGAGTAGCTAAATATGCAGTAAAAGCTGAAGTATTGTTTAAAACTGACTTGAATCGAGTGAGACTGGAGGAGTTCTGATTTATCAAAATTAGTATTTGAAGTACTGTAACCACGGGATTCTTTTCTCATTTAGTCCTTAACTGAAAATATCAGACCTCCAAGCACTATAGAGATTTCAGCTGTGGAATCTCTAATCATAACCCAGCAGCACCTTGGAGGAACTGGCTAACTTTGTATGCCTACATTGATATCTCTAATTATTAAAAGGGAAGTCTAGGTTTTGAGTGCAAGAGTTGCATCTAGCTACTGATTTTGATAGGGTTTGACATCTATGAAAATATTTGCTGTGTAAATTTATGTTTGCTTTTCTTCCCGTTTTTATAGACAAAAAGGGAAATAGTGAGATCAGGTGTCCTGTTGAGGTCACATTTCTGCTTCTCCCACTTCTCAGTTCCTTACAGAAGATAACAGCTATTTAGTCTGTTGTCCAGGTTGTTAAAAGTGTGCCCAAGTGGAAGGGGTTTTCCCTTTTATCACCCAGCCCTGTCTCTTCCACTGGCTTTTGTTACTGCTGCTCACAAAGGTTGTCATCTTGGTTCTGAGCCCACTATAACATGTACACACTGCTTAAAGGTAAAGAGGAGTTTTTTGTCCTGCCTCTCTAATCACAGGAGAAATCAGGCTAAACTGTTGTCTCTGTTTTTCACCTTAGTTCTCTTTTGATTTTGTTTTCAAAGCTGTTCTACAAAGAAGTGCAGGTAAGGGCTTGGGTTTTCAGTAAGCGCTGTATGAAATGCTTTGCTGTGTATTTCACCCTGCTCAAGATACTGGTGCTTGCTCAATCAGCCTTAGATCCTTCTGAAATGAATGGAGGCAAAGGACAGGTGTACAATAGAATGACATCACCATCCAAAGTGAGGGAAGCAGTTAATATGCTGAAAAACAGAGAGATGTGGAAATGCTGTAGAAATGGGCTGACAGGCCCTGCAGGGACTGCAGCAAAGAGAATTGCCAAGTTCAGTGCTGGGGGATGAGAAACTCTTATGCCCCAGTGTGGGCTGGGTGTGGACTAGGCAGGAAGCAGCATTGCAGAGAAGGAGCTGGGATTGCTCATGGGAAACTAGTTGTGCTTGTGGCCAGCCTTCTCCTGGGATGGCTGCTAGCTAGAGGGTAGCCATCCTTCCTCAGTATTTGGCACTTGTGGAGTCCTGTCTGGGCTCTATAATGCAAGAAAATGGAGCACCACAATGGAAAGTCCAGTGGAAGCTACCCAAGCTTGTCAGGGAGGTGGAGCATGTGACACTGCCTGGGACAATCGTGTCTCTCTCCATGCTGGGGAAGAGATGGGAAAAGCAAAGAGCAGATTTTACTGATATTTCCAACTGCCTGAACAGAGGATACAGAGAAGATGGAGCTTTCTGAGGTGCCTGAAAACTTCTCAGAGGTACATGGCAATAAGGAGAGGCAAGGGATGCAAGTTTGAATGTGGGAAATGCTCACTGGAGGCTGTGGTGGGTTGACCTTGGCTGGTGGCCAGTTACCCACCAGCTGCTCTCTCACTACTGCTTGATGGGACAGGGGAGAAAACAGGCTGCTAAAGCTCCTGTTTTAGAAAAAGATGTAGAGATTGCTTGCCAGTTACTGTCACAGGCAAAACAGGCTAGGCTTTGGCAAGATGGGAGAGTTGGAGTTGCAGGAGTTTATTGCCAGTTCAAGATTTGGTTTGTGAGAAGCAGACAAATAGTGAAGCACCTCATCCCCTATGTTTTTCCTGAGGCTCAGCTTAACTCCTTTACTTCTAACCTCTGTCCTTCTGTCCAGCAGCTTAGAGGGATGGGGAATAGAGGTTATGGTCAAATGTTCATAATTCCTCTCTGCTTTATCTTCCCCCTCACACGTTTCCCCTGCTCCAGCATGGCTCCTTCCACAGGCTGCAGTCCTTCAGAGTAAGCCTAGTCTAGCACAGATCCTCTGTGAGTCACATTTCCTTCAGGGCTTGTTCCCCTGGTCTGATTTGGGTCCTCCAGAGGCTGCAGTGTGGATATGTGCTCTGGCACAGACCTCTAATTTGGCTGCAGGACAGTTCCTGCTCCACTGTGGTTCCCTCTGTGGGCTACAGGTAAATAAATAACCTGCAGTGCATTTCTTTTCAGTGATGTATCTAGTCTGGCATTACTTGTGGCTGAGTAGACTCAAAATTGCTGTTTAAAACAAGGGAAAATTGCAGAGTATTAAATATTAGTAACCAGCCTGGAATAGCTGATGTCTGGATATTGTTGGACCTTTCTAGTGATGAAGAGAGATTCCTGGATACAGGAGCTGGGAGTCAGTTAGATTAGTGAGTCTGTTAGATTTGATTTATAGGGAGAAGTTAGGACCAGAACCACATAATTTTACAGTTTATTGTATTTCTGTGGTTCTTCAAAGATTCCTGGCAACTGAAACAAAGTTAAAACTGTGTAGAAATGGAAATTTTTCATTTTGTTTCCAAGAAGCATGGCAAGTGATTAGGTTAGAAAGTAATTTGTGGAAGAAATGAAAAACATAGTACACTCTGGAATGTGAGGAGTATGGGAATGTTATTTTTCTTATAATAAAGTAACAACAGATGATTTGTGTCTTAATAAGAAAAGCAGACATAACTGGATTGTTACAATTTACAGTCTGTAGTCAAAGTCTGAGAAGGGGAGATTCTTCTCCTGTGTAGCAGAAGTATCTACAATAGCAATACACTAGTATTTTAGTAAAATTAACATAGATCTTGAAATGCTGATGGATGCCATTTGAAAGCTCACCAATAAAACTTAGTAATGAAACTGTGTGACAAAGCAATACCTGCAGTGAGTTCTGGAATCACCAGGACTGGGAAGAAGAATGAGCAGGGAACTGGGGAGAGGCAGTAGGAATGTGCAGCCAGGAGCTTGCAGGAGGGGCAGTTAAGCAGACCTAGTAATTCCTTACTGAACAGGAAAGGGTATGGGGGAGCATCACAATAGCTGAGGTCAGAGAGGACTTCAGTGAACTTTAAGGAAAATGAACCACGACAAACCTGTTGGAAGAAAATAAGCATCTCTCTTGAAGAAGTCCAAGAGGAGGATCTGGGGAACTACTAACCCAGATTTACTGATGAGGTCTGGGCAGCTTGGCCTTGATCTCTGGGAAGGATGAAGGAGCAAACTGTGCCAAGGATAGGAAGGTGATTAAGGGTAGTCAGTCTGGATTTGTGCCTTACTGACCTGATGGACTTCTGCAATGAGATGATTGGATCAGTGGATGAGAGCAGAGCAGTAGCTGTTTGTGTATTTTGGCCCTTGATGCTGTCTCCTGTAGCATCATTGGCAATCTGATGGACTACAGACTAGGTAAATGCATGGTGAGGTGGACTGAGAAGTAGGTGAATTTGTGGGGCCAAAGGTTTCTAATCAGTGACACAAAGTCCATGCAGAAGCCACCAGCTACTACTGGTATATACCAGGGTTCAGTACTGGGGCCAGTATTTTTAAACATTTTTATGAGTGACCTGGATGATGGGACAGTGCACCTTCACCAAATTTGCTGATGACACAAAACTGAGAGGGGAGGCTCATATGCCAAATGGTCCCTGTTCAGAGGCACTCAGTACACTGCAGAAGTTGGAACATGGGAACTTTGAGAAGTTCAACAGAGGGAAATGTCAATCCCACATCTGAGGAAGAATACCAGATTGGCCACATACCAGTACACACTGGTAGCCAACTGGCCAGGAAGCTTTTTTGCAGAAAAAGGACCCAGGGCTCCATTTGCCAAAGCTGAGCATGAGGCAGCAATGTCCCTTTGTAGTGCAGAAGGCCAGCAGCACACCTTAGGAAGAGCACTGCCAATGGGTAGAGGAGGGTGGTTCATTCCCTTCACCTCAGCACTAAGGAGACACCACAGCTTGGCAGTGGCTGATGTTGGCAGGCAACACCTGAAGACCATCATTGAGTCGTCCCTCCTGAAGCAAGGTCAGGAAAAACAGATTGCTCACTACTGTGTCCAGTGAGGGGTTGAAAATCTCCAAAACTGGATGCTCCACAACCCTCTCAGTGCAATCTTCCCTGGTATTCAAATATCCAGGTAGTAAACCTGTGTTCTGTTTAGACAGGATAAGATGTGCCCATTGTCTCTGTTTGGGCACCACTGAGAAGTCAGGCTTCTTCTTTACACCCTCCCACCAGTATGAATAAACATTGATAAGGTGCTCTTGAGATGAATTCTTTTCTTGAGCAGAGGGTACTGGAGGCCTCTGCAGTGTTCAAGCACTTGTCTTCTGGGGTTATTTCTATTGTAAGGAATATAGCTCTTGGATATAGCAATGCACAGTGACCAGCAGATGTGGGATCTTTGTTTCAGTTTCTTTTTAATATATAATAGTCTGAAATACTTAGCATTTAAACCTCTATATTAATTCAGGTTTCATAAAGATGTTGATGATTTTGGAAGCTTTCTGAAAGATAAATGTATGATCTGCTGAACT